TGATAGACGGAAGAGGGGATGGGATAGGCCTAGAGAAAGTAGACAGGGAGAGAAAGAGAGTGTCACAGAAAGAGGAGAGAGAGCGAGAGAGACAGGGTGGAAATATTATTCAAATGGTAGCCTATGTGGCACAAATATCAAATAAAGAGAGAACGTGGTGAATAGAAAAGGGGGTAGCGACTGAAATGTCAATCTTAGAGGAGGGCAAGAGAAACATATTCTGACTGAGAGAGAGAGAGAGAGAGAGAGAGAGAGAGAGAGAGAGAGAGAGAGAGAAGGTTTTCATGTCAAATCGAAAAAGTTCTGATGCCCTTTGGTGGCTCTTACTCTTACTCGGCTGTCGTGCTTCCGTTCCGTGTATTATCATTCTGTCTGTCTTTGCGCTCTCCAATAAGATTAATACAACCCCTGTCCAATAAGACCAGTGCAGCTCGCTGCTTCGCTCCATGCGGTCGGTGCTTCAGCAAATAATTATCAGTTGACGTGAGTACGCTCCGTGACGTGTGTAACCGTAGAGGACTCACGTAGTGGAGATTTGGCACCCGCACATGGGTGCCCGGAGGGGTATCAGAGAGAAGCCCTTTGTTTGTTCGTGGACGTTGGAGACTCAAGCATGCGCACTATTGGACGTGAGGTCAAAATTTGATTTCGTTTACAACTTTGCTATCGGGTGGGTTTTCGGTTCCTCTCCTTTTTCTTCCTACTCCTTTTATTTCCCACCATCTTGGAGAGAAAGAGAGTAGATTCTCCTCCTCCCTCCCCCCTTCCTTTTTTGGAGGGGGGGGGGTGATAGATAGAGAGAGGGAGAACGGCAGAGAAGAAAGACAGATAGTTAAAGAGAGACAGATAGTGTGAGAGAGAGAGAGAGAGAGAGAGAGAGAGAGAGAGAGAGAGAGAGAGAGATGGGGCTTTTTTGGCTTTCCTCTCCGCACATTATCTTCAGCAGGTGTACCCTGGCAGTTTATACCCACGTCTTACAATATCAATCCGATATACCATGTTCGTCCTTTCTATCTTTTTTTCTCCCTTTCTTTACCGTTTCCTCTCTTTTTCTTTCGTAGTTTCTTGCCCCCATTCCCCCACTTTCACTCTTCACTCTCTACTCTCTATTTCTATCTGTGCTTGCACCGTACGTGTATAATACATGAATGTGTTTTTGCGATTATATGTGTGTGTGTGTGTGTGTGTGTGTGTGTGTGTGTGTGTGTGTGTGTGTGTGAGAGAGAGAGAGAGAGAGAGAGAGAGAAAGAGAGTACGAGTGTGTGCGTGTGTTCAATTTCCACTTGTTGTCTCTTCTACCCTCGCGCGCCCCTCTGCCAAACCATCCATGGGAGGATGAGATCTACACATTTGGAAGCGAGAGAAGATAGTGTTTGGGCGGTTCCCTCGGGGTTATCACCCTACCAGATCACGCTTCAGAAATACCTTTCTTACAGTTTTGTCTGCCGCATTGCACATTTATTTAGACTTGTTTTTGTTTGTTTGTTTAGTATAGGGTTTTACGGCGCCCGCAACTGCATAGGTCATATGAGCGCGCGGGACACACCTAATATTTTTCAGTTGGTAGGAAATTTGGAATTTTGCCCGGGTGGCGGCCGAAGCCTACTCTTGTCGATTTTAGACCACCAAGGGATCTTTAACGTGCGCAACTTGCACACGGGCCC